ACACCTGGTGACAGTTTCTACCCAACACACACCTGGTGACAGTTTCTACCCAACACACACCTGGTGACAGTTTCTACAACACACACCTGGTGACAGTTTCTACAACACACACCTGGTGACAGTTTCTACTCAACACACACCTGGTGACAGTTTCTACCCAACACACACCTGGTGACAGTTTCTACAACACACCTGGTGACAGTTTCTCTCAACACACACCTGGTGACAGTTTCTACCCAACACACACCTGGTGACAGTTTCTACTCAACACACACCTGGTGACAGTTTCTACTCAACAACTTCAATAATTTGGTCGTTACTGAAAAATCTTCTTGACTATTACTGGAAAAATCGTCGTCTTTGGATAACTACTGTGTGCCTCGCTCCCTGACAGGTCAGGACACGCTGATATAACCCTTTGTTTATGAACCACTCTCCGTGTTAGGGAGAGTTCGCTGTAACTTGTCTTCTTCAATGGCTTTACTGTCCCTGTATATGTTGGTCTTGGGGTCTTGGACGGTGTGAGGCTTGTTCATGAGGACCTGTCCTGTATGTGAGCCACCAGCGAGTGAATCAACTTGTAGGATCTGATTGAATAATGAAGTAAAGTTTATCCATATTAACAGATTAAGTTAGATTAGGTTTGGTTAGATTAAGTTAATCCATGTTAACTGTTTACTTCTTCCCCAGGAGGCTGAGGAGCTGGACATTGACCTCTCTGACCCTGAGCTGAACAAGGCGGCCACCAAGATCCAAGCTACCTTCCGAGGTCACAAACAGAGGGTCACTGACCACTGATGACCTTAAAGTTTGCCCTGTATCATATCCCAGCCCAGCCCCCTCGCCCACACAACCACCACCACCACCTACACCGCTGCCTCCTCCTGTACGGTAACTGGAAGATGAGGCGGAGGAGGAAGCAGCTGTGAGGTGGCCGACCATCTAACAGTTGTCGCCTCAACGGAATAATATTTATGGACTTGAAAGACAATTGAAACATTTCAAAATATATTTATTATTTGCTCCAGAAACACTGAAAGCTGTTAAACAAAGAATCTATTGGGACTTGGCGGGTCAGGCGGTACAGAACACAGAGAACTTGTGTAAAAAATACTCAAATTAAGCGTCAATCAGAGAGGTGCATTGCTTATGGACATGAATGAATTTATCTGCCGTTAATTTATAAGATTATTATCATTTACGTCATCAGGACAAGATCAGCTAGGTTCATATAGGGTTATACTTCCCTTGTGTTGTAAGATGAGGCGAGTTGTGATTGTTATTGTCGTCACCATAACAACCACACCAACAGCATGAGCCAGGGAGTGGTTGTGGCCAGCGAGACACCAGTCAGCCCTTGTATTAGTTCTCCCACGTTGATGACTCCTGGACGGGTCGTGTCGCTGATCTGCCTGAGTCTTGGTGGTGGTGATCGTCTGGGTGAGAGCGTTCCGCGGGTGTGTCTGTTCCCCTTTGACCGAATGTCTGTGTTGTGTCTGTTGTCCTTAACCTAGTGTCCCCTGTGTGTGTGTGTGACCCAGTGTTCCGCGGCGCCATGGGTTAAGCTGGCTGGGTGACGTTAAAGCACTCCTTTTCTGCCAAAAGGAAAGCGTGGATTTATACCTTTATTTTAATTTCTCTGTTGTTTTCCGAGATAGTGTATAGTGTACGTGAGTGTGGTGAGCCAACACTTAACGTAGACAACTTGATGCTAAATACCTCCTCTCTAGCCGCTTCTTAAATACGTAAGCTGAACAAACTTTAGAGATCTTTCCTCTGGTATTTAAAGCTCGCTATATTATGTAACAGTCTTGAGCTTCAGGAGGCTCTCACAAGTCTTCATAATAACTATATCCTTAGTTCTTCTTTTAATAACTTTAAGGAACCGAGTTCATGTTTATCACAATTATTAAAAAAAATTTGCTTTTCTACGTTGCTTTTCGTTTACTTGACTTAATAGAGGATTTGGTGAGTTTGATGCAGTCTTGGTGATACAGCCTCGTGCGTCGGGGTGTTGGTGCAGACCTTGGGTGTACAGTGCTCTGTGATCTGTATACAGTGCTCTATGTTGTGTACAGTGTTCTGTGTATAGTACTTACGTACAGTACTCTGTGTACAGTGGTATGTGTGTAGGGGGGGGGGGGAAGCAACATGTAACTGCTGGTTTAGGAACAAATGTGTCAACACCCAACACAGACACAAGCCTGGTGGCCTGGAGCAGCTCTCGGTGACCGTACTCGGAGAAGACCTGCCATGGTCGGTAGCGCCTCATTGGATGACTCCCTTCTTGCACCAGACTCCGAGTGAGAATGGACACTCCAAGTGTGGTGGTGACAGCCAACACCACACTTGTGTCTGTAGTTGTAAACATATTGGGGTGTTTACAGTCTCATGATGCTTGTGTACACAGACATGGAGGAACTATGTAAACACGGTGCAGCTTCACTGTGAGCGCCGTGTGTGACAGGACGGGGCAGAGGCAGGTTTTTGTGGCCGCAGACCGAGCTGTTTTTTGATTGTTAACTCCTTATGTTTTGTCACTCATGCTCTGTAATATTATATTTTTACTGTTTATATTATGTGATGATCCCGCTCAGCCTGACCGAGGCCTGAGTACTGTAGGTGAGGCTGGGCGCCCCCCCCCGGCAGCAGGAGCAGCACCACACCCTTCAACAACCATTGAGAAAAGTATAATTATATTTCCTTGTCTGTGACTGCCAAGTTGTTACTCGTTGTAGACCAGCGTGAGTGTGTGAGTACTGCTGGTCACTCGTATTAACTTCCTTTATCATCAAAGTAATATTTTTGTCGTGTGGGGTTGAGATTACTGAAAGTTTAAAGTCTGTCTTCTCTTGTAAATGTTAACTACTTAGTATACGTAATGTTAGCAACAAATTTTTGAATATTAAAATAAATTATTTAACAAATACTTCAAGGTCAGATCTGAATAATGAAAAACGTTTTAAGATAATTTAGTTAAAGTTTAAGTCGTGTTTTCAAAAGTGTGGCACAGGGAGCCATAACTCCCCGTGGTGTGGCACAGGGAGCCATAACTCCCCGTGGTGTGACACAGGGAGCCATAACTCCCCGTGGTGTGACACAGGGAGCCATAACTCCCCGTGGTGTGACACAGGGAGCCATAACTCCCCGTGGTGTGACACAGGGAGCCATAACTCCCCGTGTACGTCACTGTGTGTTTACCCCGGAGTTTCAATCATAAACTGTGGTTCAATTTATTGTGTTTAAGACAACGCTCTGTGTTTGTTTGTTAGTGAGGCGTTTGTGAGTACTGGGAACCTCACACTGACCAACAACTGACTCATTACAGGACTACAGTTTTAACAAGCACTGTCACCTAATGCAATCGTTTGGGGGAATATATTTAAATGAGCACCGCCTCCAGCCATGACGTCAGTGGTGGCCAGGGGGTGGGAGTCGCCCTCACCAACCTTCTTCAACTTACACACAAAGATAAATATTAAAACTTTTATCTATTGTTCACATTTTGAGTACAGAAGTTATAGTTATCAGCCGTAAAGTACACTATATTATGGGGACCCTGTCTACACTACTCCCCAGCCCACCTTCCTCTCCCCAGCCCACCTTTCTACTCCCCAGCCCACCTTCCACTACTCCCCAGCCCATCTTCACTACTCCCCAGCCCACCTTCACTACTCCCAGCCCACCTTTACTACTCCCAGCCCACCTTCACTACTCAGCCCACCTTCACTACTCCCCAGCCCACCCTCACCTCCCCAGCCCACCTTCACTCCTCCAGCCCACCTTCCTCTTCACTCCCCCCCACCCCCTCTCCCCAGCCCACCTTCACTCCCCAGCCCACCCTTCCCCCAGCCCACCTTTACTATTTCTAAAGGTCACAGAACCACACTTTATCTTATCTACCTTCCCTGGTAACACTTTATCTACCCTCTACCTGGTAACACTATCTACCCTCTACCTGGTAACACTTTACACCCTCTACCTGGTAACACTTTATCTACCCTCTACCTGGTAACACTTTATCTACCCTCTACCTGGTAACACTTTATCTACCCTCTACCTGGTAACACTTTATCTACCACTCTACCTGGTAACACTTTATCTACCTTCTACCTGGGTAACACTTCTATTAACACTTTATCTACCTTCTACCTGGTAACACTTTATCTACCCTCTACCTGGTAACACTTTATCTACCCTCTACCTGGTAACACTTTATCTACCCTCTACCTGGTAACACTTTATCTACCCTCTACCTGGTAACACTTTATCTACCCTCTACCTGGTAACACTTTATCTACCGTCTACCTGGTAACACTTTATCTACCCTCTACCTGGTAACACTTTATCTACCCTCTACCTGGTAACACTTTATCTACCCTCTACCTGGTAACACTTTATCTACCCTCTACCTGGTAACACTTTATCTACCCTCTACCTGGTAACACTTTATCTACCCTCTACCTGGTAACGTAGTTGAAGGTGGTGTTAATATTGTTGTCATTAGTACCGCTCTATAAAGTGTAAAGTATCTCGTAAAGTATCTGGAGGTTACTTAAGAACGTAGCTGTAGTGAGATGATACTTACAATGTTATACAGAGATTACTTAAAGAGAGAGAAGTTGTAGTCCAGGATACTTAAATAATGTTTCCCCTGTCACTTAAATATATATGGTGGAGGAGGTTCTTGAAGCAGTGGCAGATGAGACTCATCAACTTAATGGATAATCATACCTATTTTCCTCCTTTCCTCTCTAAGAGTCTAATGCTTTTGTTGTTTCCTCTTAAGTCTATAATAAAAACATCCCACTCATAGGCATCAATAATGACTTCAAGAGGTCATATCAGATGTTATGTGTTGATATGACAGCTAATTTACCCTTGATATGACCTCTTAAAGAATGATCTAATTCACTTCACTCACAAGGTATTGATTTAATTTTACGTTATTCATCTTGTATCATGTACACAAGGCAATGCGTCACCAGGGAACATCATCGCCCGGGGGTTGTGTTGAGCCCCGACGCGGCGTTTATAATCCTATGTGTAAAGTTCTCCTACACTTGAAACTCCCAAATGAAAGTTAACTTAATCTGCCTTACCTAACTTTACTATACGTAGGTACTAATGACGGCAGACCCCAGAGTGGTGTGGTGGCCAGCGCTGACATATAGAACACAAGGATTATTTCACGGTAGGACTATTTTACGGTAGAGTTATTGTACAGTCACACCAGGGCGGGAAGTCATTCAACAGGCGAGATTGACAGTGAGCTGTGACGCGTCTCGGAGCTCCTTCTCTCCCTCCCTCCCTCACTCTTCTCTTCTTGAGCAATAATCAATATAAAAGTTGCGTAATTAATCTTTGACTTGTCTACATATTCTGCTGACTGTTTGGGTTGTGTATCCGACCAGCGGCCTCGCAGTGACCTCACACAAACACTATATGACATGTTATAGAGGCGACAGTCGTAGTGTTGTTGTGTTCCCCTCACACACCACGCCACACAGGCCCTCACTCCAACACACACTTGATACTACGACTTTATCCCCGTCAGCTGGGCCACGACCTGCCCGTCTGGCTGTGTGTCAGAGGAGTACACTAGACACGCCTCTGAGGCAGGTAAGGGAGGTGCAAGAGCTAGGAGACCAGGTGGTGGTGGAGCAAGTCAGTAGAAACCGTTCTTGGAAGAGTGGAACAGACAGGTCAGGTGTCTGGTAACACTGTAAGAGAACATAAAAGAGACATAGAAGAATTATGTAACATGACTCACAGTGACCCTCACAGGTGACAGGTCCTCCTTAGCTGCCGTGTATAGAACAAACAGGTCCTCCTTGGCTGTGTGTAGAGGAACACAAAAGTAACGGGGCCGCAGGTTGAACTACACATTGTTTACAACTGTTCTATCATGTTGATCATTCATATATATATATATATATATATATATATATATATATATATATATATATATATATATATATATATATATATATATATATATATACCAGGATATTCATGTACTCGACAGCTTCACTAAATAATAACAACTCTCTGAAAAGATTTACTGTACAACGTTACATTTTTTCCTCTATTTCGTAAAAAAGGAAATAATACTGTATTTCACTTTTATGCTTGATGGTCAATTATTGTGGGATTATTCTTGTATAAATGACTTGGGGGAGTGAGGGCAGGGGGGGTGTAGGGTCTCTCTCTCTCTCTCTCTCTCTCTCTCTCTCTCTCCTGGCCTCACTCACTCCGGTATAACCCAAAACATTGGTCAATTTTCCTGTTAAATTTGATGTGATGTAGCCATGTTCTCCAGCTGTTGGTCTTAACCGCGTATTACTTCACTATTATAGAGTTCATGAATATATTCTTGGAGCCCAGACCAGTTTTATTTATCCTCTCTTGTTGTTGGAATATACTGCACAACTTATCCCAACACACTAAACTGACTCCTTGAGAACGAACCCTTAAAACAACCTTGAAATATGGCATAAAAATTGCATCAGTCAAGGGGAGCTTCAGGTGGTTTACTTCCTCACCTCCGGAGCTTCAGGTGGTTTACTTCCTCACCTCCGGAGCTTCAGGTGGTTTACTTCCTCACCTCCGGAGCTTCAGGTGGTTTACTTCCTCACCTCCGGAGCTTCAGGTGGTTTACTTCCTCACCTCCGGAGCTTCAGGTGGTTTACTTCCTCACCTCCGGAGCTTCAGGTGCATCAGGTCATGAACTTGGTGACGTCACAACACTGCTCAGGAACTAACACAGGTAAAGTCTTCCTCTCCTGTCGTCTGGGTTACATATGGCTTTCATTATTGTGAGTTTTGCTTTGAATAAGTAATATTTTCTTTTTTATTAATATTCTTACAGTGATGCTAATATAATAAACCTAATTACTATTATATTACCTATTATATACATTTCTAATATCGTTATTTTAGATTAAACAACAATATAGTTTTTGTTACATGACCCGGTATTAGTAAACAAATCCACAGTGAGACATTTATTACTTTTTATAACGAACGACAATTGGAGGTGACAGTAGTGAGGACATCCCGTAGGACTATAGATCCATTAACAAGTTAAGGACGACCCAATAATGGGTCAAATGTGTACACCGTGACCAAGTTCCCAACACCTGTAGTTAATAAACCTTTAATGCTCCTGGACACAGAGGTAATGAGTTATTTAACGAGACTTATAAGGTTCTTGTGTTAGTGTCATTTATTATATATTTGGTGGTGATGAGAACACTGGAACGACACAGCGTAGGAAATATAACGTTGTGTTTATGTCAATGTGATGGACGACGGCACCTGGGAGACTTGAACCAACAGGTGAGTGAAAGTTTACTTAGTTTATAGTAAGGTGTTGTTAAAGACAACTGTGTGGCTGATGACGACCACACCCTGTTCTCTAATGACCACACCTTGTTTACCTAATGACCACCCACTAGAGGTGGCCATGCCGAAGGAAGTATGCCACTGGCCTGCCTAGGATGCTTGTCCTAGTGCTGTTTGTTTACTTATTTCGAATTTGTGTCAGAGAAACAATCTTACTCTCAGTGACGCAGTTTTTACATAAATTATTCAAGTGATCACATGTTGCAACTGACGTATGAACAATGCGACCCATCCTTCAGCTGTCTGTGTTGTGTTTCACTGGTCTTTAAAACAGGTTAAAGCAACAGTGTCAGTTGTCCTGGCTCCTTTTGTTGTGTGCCATTTGCTAGGCCCAGATTTCCAGATGAGAATTATTGTGTCGATATCCCCAAATTATAATATTTTTACCCAAATTATTGAACATTATTATTTATTACTTTCTCGAGTTATCAAACACCTTCATTTTATTTACATGGGTGGCCTGGAGAGTTGCCAAACATTACAACGTGTCCCGCGGCGTATCTTGAGACTTAAAGGGAAGTTGTAAATTAAATAACAGTGGCTCGTGAGGAGTTACAGACAATATCTTCAAACTTGTGTAAGATCACTTGGACAGTTTCATTCAGTGTTGGTGAGTCCCAGTGGCTGTTGGACCAATATATCGCTCAATATAGGACACAAAGAAAGAAGTTTTACATGTTGTCTGTTTTATAACAAAGAATATATTTTGTACAAACAATATACCATTAAAACAAACAATACTCAACAAACTCTTAAAATATAAACATATCTGGGTGAACCGCTCAACGAAGACTGGAGCCAGTGTTCACACTCCTCCATTAACACAACACACTAAAAAAATGAAAATATAAATTTACAACGAGACATCTTCTCTTCCTGGTGGGGCGGTAAGTAAGAGGAGTGGGCATTGTGAGGTGAGGAGAGGCAACTGGGGGGCATGAGGGGGCAAGGAGTAAGGTTTGTGAAGAGGAGATGACAAGAAAAATGAGCAAGAAAGATAAATGAGTAACTCGTTTGGAGTACAGCTTAGCTCTCGTCCACGGTGCCAGCCATACTGTCTGAGCGGAAGGCCTCCACCTGGGCCTGACTGTCTCCTCTCATCAGCCGACGTAAATCAGGCTAGAAAATTTACAAGACCAATTAAAGTAGTGATAATTATACTGATAACAAATAGCCAAATTTTCAAAGCATTGAACTCTTTGTCAAATATTATTCACATTAGAAAGAAGGAGGAGAGGCCTAACTTATCCTGACCTACTTATCTGAGGGAGGGGGAGGGAGCGGTGACCTACCTTGGGGGGTGAGCGGTGACCTACCTTGGGGTGCATGAGGACGAAAGGCAACTCAGCCGTGACCTCGCCACCCATGGCTCCCAGGTAGAGCTTCACCTTCACCGTGTAGGAGATCACCATCCCGAACATGTCCCGCGACTCTGGGTTGGCCAGCCTGTAGGAGGACCACCGACTGATGTTACGACTCATACGAGGAAGAAATGTAAGCACAACTTGTGAGGATATTAGACATGTGTAGAGAACAACAAACAAAACAAGAATTATATTGAACAAGATAAAGAACAGAGTATTGTACATATGAACAAAACAGGAAGGAGAACAGAATATTAAAGATGACACAGAAGAGAGAGAGAGAGAGAGAGAGAGAGAGAGAGAGAACTCACAGTGTGGAGGAGGCAAGGTTGGTGTGGATGTTCTTGAGGTGGCCGTCCAGGGCGACGCCGCGACGGTCCATGTTGCTGCTCAGGGTCGGCGAGAGAGTCAGCTCTTTCAGTAGGTTTGACCCCGGGTTGACTGGGCAGCCCTCTCTGTAGGAACATAGTGAAGGTGTTCATTATGTGCACCGAAGATCAGAGTGTTGGTGTAGAGCCAATTGGGTGAGAAGTACCTTGTGGAACCCTGATATATGCAAGAGTATCCGAGTATATATGTACCAATTACTGTTTAATTCATCAAATTTACCTCTCAACGATACACATTTAGAAGTACAGTACTTTGTTAATGCCTCCGAGTCTTTTGTAGTGGTTTGTTAAGGTTATGACAATTATCGGTGTTCATTTTTTACAATGAAACAGTCATAAGTGTTGAGGCAGAGAACTGTAGCTGTGGTACTCACTGTGTCTCGACGCTGGCCACGGTGCTGCGGAATTGGCCGCCGGAGAAGAGACAGATGTCAACAGACTGCTGGACAGCGGCCTTGATTTTCTTAACCGTTTTGTTGCTGTTGTTTTTAATGATGCAGTTGATCGCGATGTTTTCATAGTGGTAGTACAGCTGCTTGTCAAGTGTCACCTCCAACTCCAACTCTCCTGGACTGAGCATGAAGTCCTTCCTGACGATGGTACACGGCTGACGGCCAGACTTACTGGGCGCGAACTGGATGCGGCGGATGTTCATCACTACGGTGGATCTGCCGACGGAAATGTATGTGATGGTTAAGAACCAAAGTCACAGAATTAAAGCACAACAGAGAACCTATAAGATGGACTGTAATTGGTAAGACCACATGGTCTCATATTTCACAAACCAACCAAGCTTAATTTTATTATCTTAGGCTTAAATGTTTGTTTAGTATGAAAGTAACTTGATGAGATACTCCACTCATGACCTGACTCACGCGTCCCCTCAGTCGTGTGAAGAAAATTATGACAGACTTTTGCCTTTTGTGGCTGAGAGAAAATGAAAAACAATTGTTCCAATTTTCTTGCTCAGGGAAAATTTAAAGAAAATGCCAAAGAAGTATATTGATGTTGCTTTATCTACATTGTTATATCACATCGTTCACCAATATGTTATGCCATCACTCACCTCTTGTGGCTGTGTTCTTCTTCCTTCTCGCCGACGAAGACTTTAATGTAGTACTCCACGCCACAGGGGCGCCCCTCGTCCTCCCTACCTGGCTGGATCGTGACGGAGGGAGGGGCGTTCACAGGCATATCAAAAGAGAATGGATAGGCGTTCCCACCCAGCTTCTTGATGAGCCGTTCCTGCAGCTTGGTGGACTCGGCATTCTCCTTGGGAGGATAAATCTGGCAAGAAGAAAGGAACAGGTCCTTCTGGAAGTTGAGACCCATCACTTCATCGTCCTCTCGGCCATACCTGAAGCTGCACACCAGTTGGCCGAACACCTTACGCCCCTGCAGGTAGTCTGTGTCCAGCATCAACACTCCGTCTGGCGGTAAAGACACACAACACATGGTAAGGGTTCCTTACACGTGAGAGGCAGGAGGAGGAGCAGGCGGATAAGTAGAGGGAGAGGATGATGCACAAGAAACACACAATAGGAATAAAAGAGAAATAAGCAAGATTTATTTCACCCCATGCAGTCCCTACCAGGCTGAGAGCCCTACCACACAGGGGTGACGCACTCCACCGCACACTGACCACCCTCTACCACACACTGACCACACTTCACCACACACTGACCACTCTACAATACACACTCTACACCACTCAGTCACCATATACCCTTCCACACAATCTTCACACACTCTCCACATTCCACCACAGACAGTCGTCACACTCCCACACACACACTGTCACCGTAATCCACCACACTCCACCACACACGCCACCACACACTGTCCAGCAGTGACACTTTCCTCTGAACTGTCACTTCCTTATTCACAGGGATGATGAACCATGAGAGAGATAGACTCACCAACGGGGTCGACAGCAGACACATGATCAACAAAGTCCCTCCTGCCCAGGTAGATGGTCAGCTTGCCATTGGGCGCCGCCTTCTTAAATACCTTGAACTGTACCACCATCTTGGCTGTGTGAAGGAGTTGATGCCCACTGAGGAAAAGAAGACGAAGTTGTAGGATGAGTTTGAGCGTTGAGTCGAAGTAGTTAGTCGACAGGGAGCTGAATACTGCAGGGGGGCGAGACACACGGAAACAACATCAGAATTTATCAGTGGGTGAATAGAAACATTGTCAGCTGTGATTCATTTACAACTAAACATTACAAACGATTACTATGTATAAAAACAACAAAAAAGATTAATCAGTAACATACTAGAACTACTGTACACATGAACCACTTGTCAAACAATAGTTTCGGTGAATAGAATATATACTTACAAGTCTTAAAACACAGACTACAACACACGACACAACTCTCACTCACCTGGTAGTTGCTCGACCGACTGCAAGTGGATGAAATGAATACCACGACAGAACCTCGAGGGCTTATATACCTCCCCCTGACACCCAGCCACGCACTGCTCTCTTGCCAGGTGGACACAAACCTCACATGCGCCAGCCATCATTCCGACGCCCAGAAACAAAGACATTATCTGATATTTACCATTTTAAACTCTTGAATTATGGAGTAGAATTTTTGTCTTCTCCTGAATGAAGGCTATAAGTCTGTCATGGGTTTATTATTAAGGAGAAAACAAAAAAATTGGTTCAGGAAAGTGTAGACCGTGTTCGTGGTTGTCGAGAACTTGCTGGGCTTCGTGAACTGAGCCCGGATGAACCTAGTTTCTGGCTGTGGTACGGGTCAATGCTACTTAACGAGAGAGAGACAAGGTGAGGAAGTGAGGTTGATAGAGAGAGATAGAGAGGTTAAGGGAGAAGTGTAAAGACAGGATAAAGGAGAGACAGAAACACAAGAGATTGAGAGAGAAAAAAATTAAGAGATATAGAAGAAAAAAACAAACAAAAATCCACTAATATTCTTAACTCGTCTTAATCTTTGAGACATAATTGTGTTTCATTGGACGTCTAAAACAGATCTATTTATTATACAGAATCTACAACCACAGGTAAAACGAGGAATCAATTAGCAAAAAGTCCCACAGGTAAACGTCCCTGATAACATGAACAAACAAAACTTAACGTGGTCAAATAAATCCATTAGCAAGGGACATCACAAGGTTAGGGTAGGTTAGGTTAGGTTAGGGTAGGTTAGGGTCCGTTAGGTTAGGGTACGTTAGGTTAGGTTAGGTTGAGAGGTCAGAGGAAGTTAAAGAATATGTCATGTGAAAGTGATTACGTTGACTTGCTGAGAGGGCGAGAATTGAAGGGATATGGTTTCTTTGAGAGGGGAGAGAGGGACAGAAGGAGAGACGGGAGGAGGAGAAGGAGAAAGAGAGAGAGAGAGAGAAACAAAATAATAAGAGGAAGGATGATAAAAGATAAGAAGAGAAGAAAACGATTATAAAACAATGTATAACAAGTTAACTAAGTTATACAAAATGAATTAACAACACGAGAAAAGGAAGAAATGTAAGATAAAGGACGATTAAAGAAACAAAGAAGTGAACAATGGGAAGAAGAACGAGACGATAATGACGCACTAACTTAGGTACTGTATATGTGTTATAAAAAGCTACAGTAGATAAGAAAGGTTACGCCGAAGTCCTACCAACTCTCCCAGTAATGACGTCATCAATAAGGGTCACGAGCTTTTGGTGACGTCACGGCGGCGTAGCTCATCGTATTGTGACGTCATAGAGAAGCTCGAGAAATACACGAACGGCAGCGGTCTTGAGGAGATGAGTAATTCACCATAGTGACATTGTCTTACTTACTAACCAACTTAATTGTTTATTTTATTCTATATTTTACCCTCTTCGTGCCTCTTGGCGTGTATGTTGTTGCTTTATCTTAGTTATCCATTTATTAAGTTTTATTCGTTTTCTCTGATGTCGTTTTATATCGTTTTCTTTGATATTTTAATGGCTTTCACATGTCTACGTTCTTAACAGCTTTACACAAGTCTGTCTCCAGCCATAGCTCATTTAAATGTCTGTTTTACTTACTGACTTACTAATACTCAGCCATAGTGTTCTGAAATGACTCACTTATAAGACTCACTCGACCCTGAAGGACGAGTACTTGCTGGGCCCCCTCCCCTACACTCTCCCTCCCTGCCTCCTTCCCTCCCTGCCTCCTTCCCTCCCTGCTTCCTTCTCTCCCTCCTTCTACCCTCTCCCCCTCTCACACACACACACACAAGCTACCTTTTAAAGTCGGATAAATTACTAGAACGTTTTAAAATACCTCATGAGAGAGAGAGAGAGAGAGAGAGAGAGTGTGTATTATTTTTCTCCTTGTTTCACTCTTCTGATTCATATTGTAGATAAAATACAGACAGAGAGACAGACAGACAGAACATAAACAACACATCCCCAACCAGTGTTACTAAGGGCCCCTCGTCATCTGTCTCTACCTAGCTCTCAGCTCCTCCCAGCGCTGAGACAACGCCTCTGAACAACTCCAACGGTACTGTGACTATCTCCCAGCGAGAGTCTCAGCTCAGGAGATGGGACACACACACACACGTACATTATTAGTGTGTGTTAACATACAGTGTCCTGCATCATTCATCATCACTACTTTTGTATTTTCTCATCTTTATTTCTGTTTTAATTTACAGAGGCTCCCCGAGAGAACGTATAAGTTACAGAGTACAGAAAGAGACAGAGACAGAGACAGAGACAGAGATAGACAGACAGAGACAGAGATAGAGACAGATAGAGAGAAGGAGATTAAACGTCAAGGGAGGGAAAGAGAATTGAGGAATGATTAAGGAAGAAATAGTTACAGTTGATACAGACAGTGTAGGCGAAGGATGATGAGAAAAACAACAATAAAGAAAAAAAGAAAAGAGAGAAAAAAAGCACATAAAGCGGGACCAGTACCCGTGGCACGACCTGAAGGGCTTCTGCAGCCACTTCCTCACCGCCTTCGTCTGCTGACTCACCATCATCAGCCATCATCCTGTTAGTGACCCTCGCTTGTATATATAACCCTCGACCCCACCTCTCGTTACCAGTCGCTCTTCCTCCTCTTCTCACTTCAGGTTAACTCCTCCTCCAGTAGTAAAGACACGGCCGAGGTCTTCTTCGTCAGTAGCAGCTCCAAGACACACAGCCAAGATGGTGGTACAGTTCAAGGTGTTCAAGAAGGCGTCGCCCAATGGCAAGCTGACCATCTACCTGGGCAGGAGGGACTTTGTTGATCATGTGTCAGCTGTCGACCCCGTTGGTGAGTCTATCAACCTTATCAGTCCTCTCTCTACTCAGCTCATCCCAGTGTTTGATTACTTTGGGTGTACTCGCTCGCACGTGGGTGTGGCTATGGTGTGACCACAGCAGCCGGCGGTCACTGTGTTGGGCGTCTCTGGACAATATTTTAGATGATTTAAGTTTAACCCTTTGGGGACGAGAAGGTTAACCCATCGTCCTCAAAGGTTAATAACATTATTTTCTTACTTGCGGTCAGTAGCAGAGCCTGAGGGCTTAAAAAAATATATATATTCATTTCTTCTTAATATATCTCAGGTTCACAGACATTATGGTGAGAAATAACTTGTGTGTAAAGAAACCCAAGGACACTTGTAACAAACCATTACCACCGCAGTCACCAGTAACAACTTTGTCCTCCAGATGGCGTGCTGGTGCTGGACGCGGACTACCTGCAGGGGCGTAAAGTGTTCGGCCAGCTGGTGTGCAGCTTCAGGTATGGCCGAGAGGAGGATGAAATGATGGGTCTCAACTTCCAGAAGGACCTGTTCTTGGCCTCCGAGCAGATCTACCCACCCAAGAACACCGAGCCCACCAAACTGCAGGAGCGTCTCATGAAGAAACTCGGCGCCAATTCCTTTCCTTTCACGTTCAAGATGCCCGAGAACGCCCCGCCCTCTGTTACCATCCAGCCCGGACAGGATGACGAGGGGCGCCCCTGTGGTGTGGAGTATTACATTAAAGTCTTCGTCGGCGAGAACGAGGAGGACCGCAGCCATAAGAGGTGAGTGACGTCACTATGTAAACAAACATTAGGTTGGTGTTGTTTGTTCTTTTATCATAAATGAATTCGAGAACAAAATCACAAATTTTGGGTGAGGTTCCTGGCAAGATGGCTTAGCCTCCATTGAGAACATTTATTACGTCATCAGATCTTCGGTCCAACTCAACGTTCGTCGCATCCAGTTCGCGCCCAGTAAGTCTGGCCGCCAACCGTGTACCATCGTCAGGAAGGACTTCTTGATGAGCCCAGGAGAGCTAGAGCTGGAGGTGACGCTAGACAAGCAGCTTTACTACCATAACGAGAAGATCGCCATCAACCTGACGGTGAAGAACCACAGCAACAAGACAGTGAAGAAAATCAAGGCCGCTGTCCAGCAGTCTGTTGACATCTGCCTCTTCTCCGGCGGCCAATACCGCAGCACCGTGGCCAGCGTCGAGACACAGTGAGTATAACACACGTTCATGGAAGACAGTCTATTGAATGTCTCACTGCACAACAAGAATACTGCACTGCCCAATGTTCCTTAACTTTGAAAACTTACCATTAACACATAACAATGTGAGTGATTAGTTCCACTGCTGCAGCAGTTTATGCTTATGATCACATAATGAAATGCCGCAAGTAAGTAATTCTCTCCATCACGCTTCACAATATACAACACAGAACTACTACACTGATTGTCGTGAATAACTTCATGGTGTAATAAAGCGACAACTTATAAGAAGTTAATGAGAACCTTTACAGTATTCATTCAGGTTTTTCCCTGGCAACCAATCGATTCTTTAACCTCTGACTACACAAACTGTTAACTGCGGATTTTTCTTAATATTTAGTTGTGTTGCTGGACAGTGTATACAGTTTTGATATCTTATGGCTGTACTGTGCTACCACGTAAGCATTTATGTACAGATGTAGGTGTATTGACACGTCCTCTGTGTGTCATCAACAGCGAGGGCTGCCCCGTGTCGCCTGGCTCCGCCCTGCAGAAGGTTCTTTACCTCTCGCCGACCCTGAGCAGCAACCTGGACCGTCGCGGCGTCGCCCTGGACGGCCACCTCAAGAACATCCACACCAACCTTGCCTCCTCCACACTGTGAGTTCTCTCTCTCTCTCTCTCTCTCTCTCTCTCTCTCTCTTTTCTGTGTCATCTTTAATATTCTGTTCTCCTTCCTGTTTTGTTCATATGTACAATACTCTGTTCTTTATCTTGTTCAATATAATTCTTGTTTTGTTTGTTGTTCTCTACACATGTCTAATATCCTCACAAGTTGTGCTCACATTTCTTCCTCGTATGAGTCGTAACATCAGTCGGTGGTCCTCCTACAGGCTGGCCAATCCAGAGTCGCGGGACATGTTCGGGATGGTGATCTCCTACACGGTGAAGGTGAAGCTCTACCTGGGAGCCATGGGTGGCGAGGTCACGGCTGAGTTGCCTTTCGTCCTCATGCACCCCAAGGTAGGTCACCGCTCCCTCACCCCCAAGGTAGGTCACCGCTCCCCCCCCCTCCCTCAGATCATCTTTCTTGTGTTCCCTTTGACATATAACGTATATAAGTGATGTATAATAAACGACATAACAGGCTACTGTATGACCTACAGTATAATATGACCTTTCACCTCCTACATGACCCACAACCTTTTATTATGACCTCTTGATCTCCCACAGCCTGATCTCCGTCGGATGATGAGGGCTGACAGTCAGGCACAGGTGGAGGCCTTCCGCTCTGACAGTATTGGTCAGTCCGTCGACATGGACTAAACCTCTTCTACGACATCTCCGGGCGGCGACAGGTGGCCTCTTCTGCACCACAAGGCAGCTGAGAGGACCCAAGACCCTCATCGTGGCGATCATCAGAGTTTGCTGTCCTTAGTGTGTATTTAACACCTCCGCGGTCACCATGAGTCTCCATCACGGCAAAAATATAGTGTTCTGGCTCCCGTATTGGTCGGTGATCGAGTCTTTCCTTTGGTCAGTGAACGACATACCAAACAAATATCGCTGATACAGAACGAGCCTCTCACTGAAAAACATGAACACAGAAAAACTCGAGTTTTTCCCCAAGTCCTCCTGCCCACCGCCTTATTGTAGTCTTCCTCTTGTCTTGTGACCTTGTAAACAAATCGCGAATATTATTGGAAATACCCTAAAGTGCACCAGAACCTTCAGATATTAACAGAACCTCACACTTACAGTATAGTATATAACTAATACACAAGTATGTAGTTTGTAGTGAACTCACTATATTCTATTTATTTATTGCAAACCTAAACAGGTCGTGTAATTCAACAATCATGATGCAGTAAGTCCTCGTCGTGGGTCGTTGTGTGATGTCATCAGTGAAAATCGGGAAATAAACCCCAAGAGAAACAAAGGCGACATCTTATCATATTCGCAAGTGTTAATGTTCTTCTCTGTGATATTTAACTAGATAGATTTATGCAGCCATCAGGACTATTGTGGTGTGTGAGGGAGAGCGGAAACGGACTCCACCTCCTTCTGGAGTAAAGGACCATTGTTATAAAACAACCCCGGCTTAAGAGACCATTGATATATAATACACTCTCAGGTGTTGAAAGTTTATTGTTTTGAAAGTAAAGCAAAAATTACTGAAAATTATTAGAAAAATTATCGTACCTTCACGCTCGCCATTAGGAACCACGTCATGGAACAATTCGTCAAGTGTTTTTTTTTCAGGTACGTCAAGGAATCTACGTCAGTTTTGACTGTGAATTTCTGTCTAGTGATGAAAATATCAAATCCTTCTTTCTTATCATCAATTCAGTATACATTTTTTTTTATTGACATATATTGTGTTTATTGGAGCTTTTATTTAAGTTATTGGGCCATTATAATCCCTGAATTCTCGACAAAATTTATTGGTTAATAAATAATCAATTGGCAACTACGTTTTTCATTATATGTCTCACCTGTGTTGTTAATGACAGTTTCCAGTCTTCTTTATTTAACACACATTGATTGTCTGGGTAAAACCATTTATTATACACAACAGCAGAATTCATTTTAATCAATTACACTAAAGGGCGCCGCGGCAGATTCACCGTAAAGGCAACAAAGGAATTATTATATAAAAATTAAGACCGGCCAGACGAGGCACGGGCCGAGGTACAGTCTCCCAAAAGAGTCCCGTCGCGAACCATGACTCAGACTCGTGAACCCGAAGCAGTAGACACTGATACATTATTCCGTCCATAAATGCTTCGGATTCAAGAGTCTGAATCTCGGGGTTCATGGTTCGCGACGGGACTCTTTTGGGTGACTGTACTTAACATACAAATAATTGATAATTATTTTGTGTATTAAGATAACAATGCAATAATTACATATTGATTTATTTAATAGTAAAGGATATTATAAATAGCTTTGTTTTGATAAATAAAACAAAAGAGTCTGTCACAGCGGATAGCGTTACATAGTGTCAGCAGTGAAAACTCAGAGGTTAATGTTTTTCTTAGTGCCAGACCCAGAGTAAGTGATAAGCTCTACCACAGTAGGGCATTAAAGGTGTTGAATCCTTCCCGAGAGTAGCGGTGAATCTCCAGCAGGATGTGAACGAAGGACTGACATCCTAGAGGTAAACACACATTTCTGACTGGCAGCAGACGACACCCTGAGTGTTTCTACGAGCTGTAAATAACATCCTGCTGTTCAAGGTAAAGATACACTTATTCTGTAAGGTACCGAGGTGCTGTAGGGTAGTCAGAGTTCTCCTGTTGGTGTAGGTGATCGTCTGGGTGTTTTAGGGGTAGTCACAGTTCTCTTGCGGGGTGTAGAAGAATTGCTGTGTGTCAATACCCCACTTGGAGAAGGCAGCGAGGGCCGGCTCGAGCTGTTCCTTCGTCAGGGTTGGGGTGCGGGCCAGGATCCAGGCTTGATCTACGTGGCCCAAGTTGAGGAAGTTGTTGCAGGAGTAGACGGCGGTGTAGGTGGTGTAGTCTGTGGCCAACACGTTGTAGTCCCCAGCCACTGGCACTGTTGGAGGAGACGAGGAGGAGTAACCAAAACAATTGTGGTCATGAATACTGTCTCAAATGTTATGTTTTTGTTGGCTTTGTGTTGCTAAAGTGAACACAAACACTGCAGTAACAAGTGTGTTGAAGTGTTCCTCTCCACAATATAGCCAGTTGGCCATAATAATCTAACTCGTTTATCTGTACACTTCACACGGCCAAGTCACGCACCAGACAGATTCTCAGAGGATTCATATGTTAAATAAATAATGACTGGGCAAGTGAGCATCAGTCCTAGCCTAACCTAACCGATAAATAAAAGTTTCCATGGTCATATTCGTAGTATTTCTTTTCAACGTCGACATTTTAACAGAAGGGTGAAGTCAGGAAGCCAACAAGGTGACATAAGCTACTTAATGTAATCAGGGAAGACGTACACACACTATGTGCTGCACTAGGTCACGGGTTCTTTCTTATCTCATGTGAATGGTTGTTGGTTTTTCACCTATTTTATTTATTTTTTGTCAATATTTATTTGAGTTGGTGAAACAGTCCAGAATGTTAACGACGCACAGTCATCGTTGGGTCATCTTGCTGTATGTGCCGCTGGGATAAGTGGCCGTCTATCCAGAGAAAACGTGACTGTTGGAGGGCAAACTAAACTAAACTCGTCAAGTTAGATAAGTCTCGACGTATTTACAGTAGAGGTGAAATACACATTCAATCATTATTCTATCCGCTTAAAGAGAGGGAGAGAAAAGGAAAATGGGAGACAACCACGCAGACTGACAAGCACTCACCGCCATCAAGGTGCAGCACAAGGACGCCATTAACAGGAGTCTTTTCAGCGTACCCGAAGATCTCTGTGTAGTTGCCGCCAGCGTCCAGCCCGCCATTGTGTACACCTACTGTCCCGTCGCCTATCAGAGAAATACCCTGGTTAACAAACATGACATACACGAGGAAATATACACAATTAAGTATACAAGTACAGGTGATGTACGGATACTGTGTCCCATATAAGGAGAAGCACTTAAGTTTGGGAAAGAAGACTGCCATCGTTGAAAGTTAATGCTAACTCTGTGGCTCCATTTTATTTTGTTAAGTATCAAGATTTAGTTCCGAATTTTGGACGTCGTTCAGTCGGCAGCATATATAACTATTTCCTACTGCATAGACTACGGCAAACTACGGTAAGCTACGGCCGGAAAAAGGAAAGCTGCTGAAATTAACTGGGGGGGAGGGTTATTCTTCAGGTAATCCGATTTTATTTATTTGCATTTTGATTATATTTCATCACCTTACAAGAAAATAAGTAGTAAAGAAACTCACCTCTGTCGCTGTACTCTGCATAGTTACACGTCTGACCTCTCTCGTACGGCATAGTGAACCTAGCGAACTCGATCCATTTACCCAGGTACTAAGGGTATAAACACGCTAATTAGGAAGGTGTGTAGCATTGTGAGAGTCCTGACAGGTGGCAAGGTATTTCATCAGTACACCTGTATTCATGTAATTGAAGAGTAAAACAACAATAGGTGATTAGTTAGAAAATGAACTTGGTCTCGTGATAAAGAGAGTGAGGGTAGGGGGTACACTCAGCGTCCATCCGTGTGTCTGTCTACATACATATGGTGATCATCTGATATCTCGTATTCTATGGTAACTCAGTTTTAGATATAAGTTCTTTATACTTGGTTCAATAGTAATATTTTTGCTATTCCTTCCACTCTTGTTCTTTGTCCACGTTTATCACCACATCTTCACTTCATCATTCTCTCGTGTTTTACTTTTTTTTTTTTTCTTTTTTCTTTTATCCTCTTCGCCACTGATCGGCTTGTTAGCCGCTTGGGCGATCGGTCTGACTCTTTCCTTTATATTCTTCACCAGGTCGGCTCGCTTCAGTCACGTCTCTGTACGCACTGTTGGCAAATACTGGGCATGCACCGGCTCCTGAATGTACCTGAACCCGCTCCAGTGTTGGTCAAGTCTTCTCTTGAAAGAGCTCACACTCGGTGCCGTCACAACACTTTCTGGTAGATTGTTCCAAGAGTTTACAACCCTCACTGTTTATTTCCTTATTTAATATCCTTCACTACCCATCTATTCAAACATTCAACATCACTTCACTATCCTTACCACTTGACACAACACCATTCAGTCACCATCATCATTCTCTCCCGTACAATATCCCCACCTTTCACCATTGTTTTATCTATCACCATCCTAACCCGGCACCATTCTATCACTACAACCTAACCGTTCACCATCTTCACCCATCACCATAGTCTCACCATCCACCACTACTCACCCATCATCATCCTATACACCATTCTTACCTTTCACCACCTTCACCCATCACCATTCCGTCACACAATAGCTTAACCATCACCTTTCCTCCACCACTCACCGGGGCCACCTCGAAGTCCAGCTTTGTGATAAATTCCGGACACTTTCCCGGCTGTAAACTTAACCCCTGGGAGAGAGGCGCCATGACTCCCAGTGTCAAGACGAGGCCCGTGATGAAGGGGAGCACACCGACCATCTTAGTGACTGATGAACTAGGAGTGGATTGGTGACTTGTAACTTCGGGGACCTAGTGATGAATGAGACTCGTCTGTCTTCCGTCCAAGCTCACGGACACACACACACACATACAGTACTTTATATATATATATAGCAAACTTCAGCTCCCGGGAACTTTGCTTACGACATTTAGTTATATAAGTCAGAGTGATTGAGGTCAAATAAGACAGATGAGGAGGTAGTGTTGGGTCTCACAAGACAGTGTGAGACAATGCACACATGTTATTGAGATTATGTTTTATGTAACTCAGTTATCTGTGTTTGTGTAATTCTTTTATTGTTTTTAAATAGTAGTGTTATTACGGAAGGTATGCATACGTGTAATTAAGGTAAGCTGAGTTAAGTTGCATAAGCTGGAATAAATTAACTAGAGTAATCTAATTCAACTGACGCCAGCCTATCACCTCCTGAACTATGCTAACTGTCTTGTCTAACACAATTTAACTAGGCGAGTATAACCTAGCCTAGCGTAATGTAACGGAGTTTAAATCTTAAGTATAGAAACTTTACTCTCTCATATATGTCATACAGGTATGTTAATCTAATCCAGTTTAGTAACAAAGAAAATAAAAATGAAAATATAATTTAGATATTTAAATATAAGATGAAACATAAATATACGAATACGAATAAAACAAAACTTTTGCAGAAACCCTTTTATTATAAATACTTTAGTTGGCCGTGAACCACCTGAGTGTTCTCCATACTGGGGGAGGCACGAGCAACAATAGGAGTTACTCGAGCTAAATAGTCCTCGCCGAGAGCCTGAGCAGAGCACCTCCAGGTCCACACAGCTGGGACTCAAACCCTCGCAAAATATAGTTGTTATGGCGTCTAGGAGGGCTCTACACTTCGTCTACAAGATAGGTGACAGGGAGGCCACTGCTAAGTTTTACAGAGAGATTCTTGGCATGAAGGTGAGAGTTAATGAAGAGACTGTCCGTGAGGGAACTGCTTATGTAAGACACCCCCTCCCTCATTAGGGTCCCACTTATTACCCAACTGTAGCCGCATTGAAGTCAAATAATGGTCCTACATGAATAAAACGGGTTACCAATCACTTCTCGACTAGTATTTGGTGTCACAAAGTAAAAAAAAAATTGGAAAACGTAATTTAATAAGCATCTCAGGGGGCACTACTCAGGTGAGTGTCCTTACCTGGAGCTGGCGGACGCTGCCCCACAAGGGGTCACAGCTCAAGGCTGAAGAAGCTGCAAGTCCAGAAAACTGTGAGGGCAAACTTTTTCGGAGTGAGGGTTGTAAACTCTTGGAACAATCTACCAGAGAGTGTTGTGACGGCACCGAGTGTGAGCTCTTTCAAGACAAGACTTGACCAACACTGGAGCAGGTTCAGGTACATTCAGGAGCCGGTGCATGCCCAGTACTTGCCAACAGTGCGTGACAGAGACGTGACCGATCGCCCAAGCGGCTAGCGAGCCGATCAGTGGTGAAGAAGATAAAAGTAAAAGTAACAGATCGAGTGCATGTACCGAACCTAACCTAACCTAACCTAACCTAACCTCGACTAGTATTTGGTGTCACGAAGTCACAAAAAATTGGTAAACTTAATTTATCTGAGTTAATAGATCAAGTGCATGTACCTAACCTAACCTAATCTAACCTAACCTAACCTAACACAACACAACTCAGATTAAATTAAGTTTACCAATTTTTTGTGACTTTATGACACTAAATAATAATCGAGAAGTGATTCACAGCCCGATTTACGCTTGTACGACCATCATTTGACTTCATTGCGGCTACATTTGGGTAATTAGTCGGACCGCCTCATTATGCTACCCTGGCCACTCATTACACCCACTGCCCCGGCCACTCATTACACCCACTTCCCCGGCCACTCATTACACACCTCGGGATATGTTTTAGAATATAAAGTGGCCGGTAATACTTGAGACAGTATTGCACATTAACCAGGAACCTTAAGAAGTTTTGGTATTCCTGTATTGCCTTAGTGGGTCCAACTCAATTTCTTAATTTAAAAACAAAATTCATACAGTTCAAACTGTTCTAAGACACTTTTCTTCTATGGCATTTCCATCGGACACGAACGGTTACCAGACTATTGCACGGTTTAGGTCGGAATGGGGCCCACTTATGCAAATTTACCTAAGTTTTTCTCTTGCAGGTACAGTAAATGCTTTATTACCTCATGGAAGTCCCATAAAATGACACAGATTTACAGTTTGCTTGATAATACCTTATTATTGCAATTGGCAAATACTGTATATAGAAAACACCAGCTCCTCTACCTAGCAATGAGACATGGAGTTTCCAGGTGTTTTTTTTTTATACTCTAGACATTGATGATAACTTTGTTATGGAAATGCTTCATTTTTTAAAATATGGCCCCTTTCTCCCCCCTTCAGTATTAATACCCCATAAGTGGACAGGGCTTTGAAGTGTGAAAATATGGGGTTAAAACATGGAAAACATAGTATTTTATCATATTTTGGGGTTAAAGTGTTTCTCTCTCTGTTCTTGACAGCTGGTGGCAGTGTTACAAACTCAAAATATATTGCTTGTGCATTTCTCATCGATTTCATGAAACAAGAAAGCATTTATGTTCTGTGATGAATGGTGCAAAGTAGGCAGTTAAGGTGTTCAATTAGGCTTCACTATATTGCCCTTTATTTTAGAAAAGAAAAAGATAGAACTTAATGCAGTATGTTAGGTTAGTTTTCTTCATGTTATGAGTAAACAAAAATTTAGAATTGATTATTATGTTGAAAAATTTCCTGAAGTTACTGCTTAGCATGTGATAACATTCCAAAGTAGTGTAGTGTACAGTACTGTGCTGTACTGTACTTTGTTACTGGAGTGTGGACTTGGCTGCCACTTCAGTATAAATAATTAGATAAGCTTAAGTTAGGCATGGATAGGTAGATCTTGTTCTGTACACCTGTAGGTGATGGTGTCATTCACTGGGTCTTTCTTAGTACTGTACAGTAATGCATTAAGCCAATGACATATAATATCAAATGATTTCTTTACTCTTATAAAGTTGATGTATTTATACTATATTGTAAATAGACTTAATAAATTAACTTACCACACTAGAAGTAACATTAAGAAGGTGATCGTATGTTTCAGGCTACCTAACCCAACCCAACCTAAGCTAACCTGATCATGGAATTAAAAAGGATAAAAATCGCATAAAACAGACAATCTTCAAAGTGGGAATTGACCAAGTGGGATGACACCAACCCAGCCACACGCCCGGCTCGTACGGACGCGTCAGAGCACGATGCAATCTCTCAGAACTCCGGGAAAATAGGTTCCCGTCCCCGGAGTGAAAAGATTTGGAGAGATTTTCTCAAAATGTTTCCGGAAATGCACGTGATTTCATCTTCAGAAACTCGTTCTCATGCCGAGAATGGAGAGAGTTTTCCTAGAATTTTCTGGAAGGCTCAAAATCCATTCCGGTTATTGGATAGTTCTGGTGACCAGAGATTCCGGCTAATGGGAGATTATACTTACAGTACTGTATACTGTACTGTATTATATATGCCAGTACAATATACTGTATATTTTTTTGTTCATGACTTCTTTTTAAACTTTCAGGTATTACGCCATGAGGAGTTTGAGAAAGGTTGTGAAGCTACGTGTAACGGGTACGTCACTTACCTCTTATTATTATAGTAAAACTTCAATAGTTGTGGATTAATTGGGTCAAAGGTCTGGCTGAAAATATAAACACTCCAGAATCATAGATGTCACTGTTTATCTTTCTGTAGGAAATTGCCCGTTTCTTTTTCTAAACTTCTGGTCTAAGGATCCATGTGTTTATCAAGACTTAGAGGAAAGTTTGACATAAAAATTGAGGATTGCTTCTCATCCTTTTTCCCCCAGACTAAGAGGATGTTGAGTGTAAAAAAGTATACAGTATACCTCAAGTGTGTGAGAAGTACTATACTATATATAATTCAGAGGTCAGGCCTGAGTTATCTTATATCAAGACTTGAGGTTGATGAGCCATTTTGTCCTTAAATGGCTGAATCAGTTCATCACTGGTAAAGTTGAGGATGGCTTAAGTTGACAGATGAGGTGGAGGATTAGGAAGACCACTTGGCCTGCCTCTACATTAATAAGATATGTGTCAGCATGTTTTAGTGTGTCGGCATGGTTTAATGTGTCGGCATGTTTTAATGTGTCGGCATGTTTTAATGTGTCGGCATGTTTTAATACGTCGGCATGTTTTAATGTGTCAGCATGTTTTAATGTGTCGGCATGTTTTAATACGTCGGCATGTTTTAATGTGTCAGCATGTTTTAATGCGTCGGCATGTTTTAATGTGTCAGCATGTTTTAATGTGTCGGCATGTTTACGTTCACAAGAGGTTCAGAAAGATCTCAGACTCTGAGAATATCTATGAAGTTGTCAGTGAGTCTTTATTAGGTGACAGTTAAAGATGACATTTACAGTGTGTGTTTCTTGCTCTTTCAAAGGCAGGTGCCTTAGTAACTCAGGTAACATCCAGATTGATCCCTAGTTAGGAGAAGCATTAATAATTAGTGCTCAAGCTGAACACATGTGATGAGTTGGCTTGAAATATTCCACAAAGAGCTGGATAATTATTATGTTTTCATGCAGTTAGACTTTTGGCAGACAGCATGAGAAGGTTATAGAGATGTTGGTGTGTGTAGTTCCTGTGTTGTAATAAAGACGTCTTATCTTGGAAATTACTGTAGTGGTTATGACTTGTGTACTGAAGACAAAGCAGGTATGTCATAGAGTAACACAGGTTAATCTGGATATGTTTTCAGACCCTATGATGGTAAATGGAGCAAGACAATGATTGGATACGGGCCAGAAGACAACCACTTTGTGTGTGAACTGACCTACAACTATGGCATCTCTCATTATGAAATGGGTTAGCACAGTACAGTATTATCATCTTGTTTTATTAGGTAAGGTACATCATAATATACAACTAAAAAAATTGGTATTAAAGTACAGTACCACTTATGTGCAATTCTGGCTTTTAATATAGTACACACACCCCAGGTTAAGGATACTCTCCCATAAGTCCTCTGACCACCAAATAATTCATGGATTGAGTCGAGTTATTTCCAACCATACTCCACCTGTGAGCTGTATATGTTATGATTATATATATGACTCGTAATTTTGGATAGATATATATAATTTTCTTTTTCTTATGTACTTACATGCAGACAGTGCCCCTCCCCCTCACCCTAATTTTTGTTTAATTATTATAAGATATAAAATATTTTTAACTTTTAATTTCAGGTAGGGGGGTTGCTTAGTTACATACACACACAATCCTTCATACAGAAATTGCAAAATTTAATCAAATAAATTACTTTCATAAAATATAATGTTTAAAGTATCTACAGTACAGGTTTCCACCATGAAACTGTGTGGTGAGTGGCTGGGGTCTTGGCTACTCTTAGGGAGGTACAGTACAGTACCTTTGAACTGTTATGTTCAGAAAGTTTTCTCTTAAGTGTAAAGCCTAACATAAAACTTTCTAATGTACCTTTAAGGAGATACCGTAATAAGGAAAGAGAGGAGAGAAATAGACAAGTTAATGTAGGTATGGAGTGATGTGAGTGTGGAGGCTCTACTTGCCCCCCTGGAGGGAGCTCTGTGGAGGAGAGAGGCATTGTAGTAGATAATATAGGCTTGTCATCTCCCCAGGCAATGACTTTCTTGGAATGTATATTGAGTCGAGTGAAGCTCTGGAGAGAGCGAAGGCCAGTGACTGGCCGGTGAAGCAAGATGGGGAACACAGTGTATTAGAGGCTCCAGGAGGCTACAAGTTCTTCATTATCAACAAACCCCAGCCAGGAGACAGAGGTGAGTGTGTCTTGGTACCAACTGTCATGTGTCTGGGTTTGGTTGTTCCTGAAACAAAATCTGCTTTTATATGGTCATAAAAAAAGAATGACATAGTATAGATCTTACAAATACATTTTTGTGTTGTTACAGTCGACCCCTGTTAATTCGGATTAATAGGGGGGGGTGTCCGTTTTAGCCGATTGTCCGAATTAACCGATTTAGGGGTTAATATTGCATTATATTTCAAAGTCATTGTTTTCGTCTCGATTTTATCCCACTTTCCACTGTAATACGTATGTCATTTCAGCAAAAATATTACATTTCCGTGAATGCATTATATCAAGCGCAGTATGAATAGAATACCATTGTAATATAACAGTATTTTAACCAAAAACTATTAAAAAAACGAGTAACTTCTCTTGAACATCGGAAGGTTAGGTAAAATCTTTTGTTTTCGTCATGTATTTTATCCTATTTTACATTAAAATACATCACGTTTCAGCAAAACTACTATTTATTTCCGAGAATATATTCATTCAGGCACAGTTAAGGTAAAATATACATGTGATGTAACAGTTTTTTAACTGAAAACGATTCGAAAAACACGTGTACCGTCTAGCTGATTGATACTCAACAGCTGGTGGTGCGTCATGCGTCGTTGTAAACAATAGGAGGTTGAAGTAGATTACCGGGTATTATATTAAGTGTGAAATATCGAAAAGGTTTTTATTACCGGTATTTGTTGTAGATCAATGAGAACTGTTTTACCGTATATGATATGATAAGTTAGCCTGTGCTAAGAACTTCAACATAGACTACTGAAAACATGTTGTAAGGTAATTTAGCCTATTGTAAGTTAGTGAGCTTCATTTTCTGAAGCTACTGCACAACTTTTCATTACTAATTGGTACATAATTTACGTTTCCATTGTTTACTGGCAGTAAATGGTAAATATTTTTCATGTCTGAAGCTAAAAGTTGCATCCCTCCCCACACTAGTGGTGGAGATGTTACATTTAACCAAAAAGACGCTGGTGTTTTATCCCAGCAGTGGGTGGACCAGCATTTTAGCTTAAGGTCCGTGTAGGTAATATTCCTACAAATCTAAAAAAAAAAAGAAAAAAGTTTGTTCAGATTTTTTCCGAATTATCCGAAATCTGGATTAAAGGGGTCCGAATTAACGAGGGTCGACTGTATATGGAAAGTTACAATGTGTACTTGAAAGTTTCCTCATCTGCCAGATCATTATAATTTGCTGATGCTGTATAATGCACCAATAATACATAGACAAGGAGTTCAGTACAATTCATAGGATGATTGTTTTTTAATGCGCACACACAGTGAGAGAGAGAGAGAGAGAGAGAGAGAGAACATTTAGGGTCCAAGCACTTGTTTGGAACATCTAAAATTGTCTTTAGGCTGTGATATGACTTACTGTTGTTGTTGATTCTCCAAAGACCCGGTGCAACAAGTAGTACTGGCCAGCAGCAACTTAGAAAAATCAATAAAGTATTGGAGGGACTTGGCTGGGTTGACCATGTACAAGAAGACGGACAAAGCGGCGACTTTTGGATATGCTAACACTCAGGCAAAAGTGATCCTCCAGGATATTGGTAAGTTTGACATGATTATACTTCACAAATGGTAATTACTAAAGCTTGGTTAGAGCAAGGAGAGAAATACTTAAAATATATGGAGCAAGATGAATTAGATATTGTGATGTGGGGATATTGGTAGAAATATTAATATTTATAGTTGAGGGTTGGAGGACCAGGGGAAGGCAGAGACTGGGATGGGTGGAGCTGTGGTCCCTGATTGAGTCGTGTACCTATAGAACGTGTACACTTGTTTTTTTCTTTTTAATAAATCAATATTATATGGTATTTATTATATGCATTTGTTTTCAGTTATTAAAATTAAATTATAGGTATAAAATGTCAGGAGAAAGTGGTAATCATCATCAATATTTTATGACCGTTTTTCATGCTTGCGTGGGTTAACTAGGATTACCTGATGGCAGCTCTCCATGCAGTTTCTCTCATCAGGTTCTTAATGTCTTACAGTCTTTCCCCATGTCATTCTTGGCCTACTCCTAGTTCTCCTCCCCTCTACATTTAGAGACACATGCATCACTTGACCCAATTGTTTTTTCTAGTCTCTTCACATACCCAAACATCTTTGAAAACCTTTATGCAAATCTTAGCCAATAATGGTAAAAGAACGTGTGGAACAGAGTGTATGTATGTATGTATTACAACAAAATACTCAAGATATAGGGATAATACTGTTGTAAAGAGGAACTTGAAGAATATGTTAACTGTGTCTTAAGGATAAGAGAAAGTCTTTGTTCAAGTAGAATGCACTTAGGGAAGTCTTAGCTCTCAGTATCATTAATGGTAGGTGTTGCTACTCAGAAATTACAATTCATTGTGATATTTTCCGTGTCTTAAGTGTAGATCTCAGCACTCGGCTTTGTGATATTTTTTAGGTGGACCAGTGGACCACGCTAAGGCCTTCGGCAGGGTTGCCTTTGCGGCACCAGGTGATGAGCTGCTGGGTATTGAGAAGACAATGAAAAAAGCCAACCAAACAATAGTTAAACCATTTATTTCTCTAGAAACACCAGGTAAAGCCATGGTGGAGGTTGTCATCTTGGCCGATCCTGTAAGTACTGCATATATTTCACGTTATAATACTGTACCATATTATATCATAACGTATAACACATAAAACATGTAAAGTAATTGAGACCATGAAGTGATCAATATCTAGGGGGCTAATCTTCAGGTGATCCATGAAGATGTGAAGGATCTCACTTGTGCTCTCCACTACATCACTGGTTTACATGGGCTTTGATATACATTATTTATATTTTTTATAGATGAGTGAAATGAGAAATGGTGGAGGAAACCTTAAAAAAGTAGGAATTAAATATTAGTTATGTTGTGAGTGTTGGAGGTTGATGTTTAAACTTAGTAAACTGTATGTGATATTTAGAGACACACAGTTTGACCACTGATATATGAGAATAGGTCATGCTTTGGTATCACAGGACAGTATAGAGACACCACTTGAGGTACACTAAGAGAAAACTTATCCTGTTAAGTTACAGGGGAATAAGTGGACAGAGTAAGAATGAGGCAGAAAGACTTTTGAACATAAATACTGTACTGTGGTAAAGAAGCTTTTTTAAAGTTTGGTCAGTTTTGTATTACTAGATCAAATTCACCCAGCAACAGAATCCTCTGACCAAAGTATGAACTCAGTAGGTGAGAGTAGGAACCAAAGATCTTTTATTTATGTTTCTTAAGAATTATGATTTTCCTTGAGAAAGTCTTTATGATAGGTACAGGTGTTCTTAGTTTAGATTTTTACACCATATAGAAGTCTTGTATGGTATCCTGTGTGTCTCAAGTGAGTGTACAGTATTGTTACATCCATTCCACCAGAGTACCTTGAGGCACGACCTACCAGTATCCAGTTGGGCTCTGACAGTTTTACAGCTGGGTATGTCATCCAGTCAGATAACATAAAGAAGTTAGAAATCTTGGGGGGCCTTGGAAGGTGAACATCATAACAGAACACCTCTAAGACAGCAGTTAGAGGAATGAAGAGACATTACTGTATTTACTCTTTATTCCAGCCACCGTGCATTACAGCTGGAAGTGGGATGAAGTGTAAAAGAATTTATAGTTGGTCCCCCAAAATTAATTACCCAGTAGTGTATTGAGTAGTTTTTTATTTATAAAAATAGAGTGTAGCAAGTTATAAATTAGTGTTGGGTTTGAATATTCTTAAGTCATTCTTAGTTTAGATTTGTTAAAAATTCTGAATGTTGTTATTTTGTTACAGGATGACCATGAAATTTGCTTCGTAGGAGTTGAAGGATTCACTGAACTGTCTCAAGTTGACCCAAAGGCCGATGACCTCCTGAACGAGGCCATGGAGAAGGACAAGTCGGATGAGTGGTTTGCCAAAAAAGGCGGGAAGGCCTTAGCATAAATGTGTTTGTAATGGAGCCTTAATAGGGAGGGATTGCTTTTTGCTGCTTTCAAACTAATGTGAATATGTCTGGGGTCAGGTAGGTCTTTATCAGAGATGTCTAGGTTAGTAGAGCAAGTAAGTATACAATGGCTGGGAAATAACTAGACATTGTTTTTGAAATATAAAACTGTGCCACTGAAAGAAGAATCAAAGGTAGGGAAGATATTAATTAATAAAATGGTCATGCTGTTTTTTTTTTTCAGTTAAACAGTTATTGTTCACATTATTGAGTGAAGATGACTTTCAGAGTACAATGCTGTTCTCTGGTGAATCAGGTTACAGCCACACACACTGCAATATATCTAGTACTTAGAGTCCTGTACCAACACTGTACTACTTTGAATGGAGTCATAATAAGAACAAAATCTGAAGGTAATCATCATTATATGTTCTTAAGAGTTTGATTAGATAAATGGGAGTTTTAGCTAATACACAAAAGGTCAGGGAATGCAATGAAAACTGAAGTGCATAGGACAGTAATGGTCAGACATTCCATACTATAAGTGGAAGGCTTTTAGCTTTACGTTGATGGCTGATGTAATTGACATTATATTTTAAGACATATTCAGTACAGTACTACTTAAGTGGCATTTTGCTTTTAGTTTGTAAGAGTACTGTGTATTATCCAGTACAATTGAAAATAGCATGATGGATGGTGATGGCTGAGCTATATAATGATTGGGTGAGCTGGATGAAGTACAGTAGATCAGATGTGTCTGTTCACCACATGTTGTCTCCTTACTTTTATTGAAAGCTTTAGTAAGTGACCCACTACCCTATATCACCAAAAGAAATTTGTACCATTTCTGTTCATTGTGTTTTTTCTGCACTTGGCTGCTGTTTTATCTCAATAAACAATTAAGTACTGTATTATTAGATGACACTTGCCTGTTATAAAATAATAGTTGCTTATTATAGGACAACACTTGCCAATTATTGAACAAACCTTTTCTATTATGGAACAATATTTGCCTATCATGGTGAAACAGTTGACAATTATTGAACAATACTTGCCTATTGTGGTGCAACACTTGCCAATTATTGAACAATACTTGCCTATTATAATGCAACACTTGCCAATTATTGAACAATATTTGCCTATTATGGAAGAACCTATTATGAGCAATACTTGTGTTATAGAACATCACTCACCTATTATGAATAAGTATACAGTATCCCAATTAAGAGACTTTTAACCATGGTTTCGGTAATGGTTTATGGCTATACAGTACTGTATTATGTGGGAACACGGACAATGTGATGATTGATGTACAGTAGTTGTATTGTACAAAAATTCTTGCCTTGAAAGTATTTGAGTGACTATCGGGTGAATTATTACAACCGACACTTGTGTAAGAATAAATTCATTGTAATATGTTGAAATGTGATCTAAGTGTGTGTAATTAATGTGAGAAACAAGTGATCAAATGGTAAATAAAGCTTGTAGAGCATTGTAGTGAAGGCTCTCCTTGATGAGTGACATGGATCTTAACAGGATGTTGTCATGCTACAAGTTTATCATTATAAATATTTTACAGAAGTTTGAGCAACAAGTCATTGAAGAGTTGTGAACATTGATGTAGTACTGTACAGTAATAATGTTAATAACAAGGTAGGTGGTTATTACTGTCCCTTGAAATTGTGCACAAGTAATATTTTTGAAGCTCATAAAAAAGATTAATTTGGGTGACTTTTTATATGGGTGGTTGATAACTGTTTTGTCCTGACACTTTTGTTCCTTTATATGTTGATGTATTGTCTTGAGTTATTGTTCCCATGTTTACTGTAATGTTGTGGTCAAAATTCCCTGGAAACTTTTGGCAATCTGTTTGAAGGTTATATAAGTAAGATAATCGGGATTTTTATCTTCTATTGACTCTCTTTATTTGTAATTAATGTTCTTTTATGTTATCATTTTAACGTACAGTAATTTGTACTGAAAACCAGGATTTACCGGATACTAAGCAATCACTTGTGGCCTCGAGTATATACCACATATTACCAAGAGTTGAGGGAGTTCGGCCCACAATTGTACATGGATTTAGATTAATTGGAAACTGTACCACAGATGATATAAGAATTCCACTTAAGTATAGATTGTGTTTATGTTTTTTTCAGGTTTATGTGGCAAACAAATACGTAATCTCATTGATGCAGTAAGACTTGTCAAGATGGGTCACAGAGCATATAACTAAGGTGATTGGTTGAGAGGTTCTTAGGATTAGTGGTTCTGTTCCTGAATCACCAGATGATTGTTAAAAGTAATACTTAAAGGAGATGAAAATAATTGTGTTAAAAGTAATTGTGAAATATCAAATACTTCTTCTTGTCTGACCCATAATGGTGCTTGCTTAAGACCCTCGGCTTGGTCCATTGAGTTCCCTGGTTAATCTGTTATTAAATATCTTCTTGACAGTATTGTTATATTGGGTTATACCTCAAGTTAAGAGAGAGAGGAGCATTGTTGGACTTATTTTAGGATGTAAACTTGACATTTCACACGAGGTAAATTATATCCATGTACAGTAAATATGAATAATAATTTTATATGTCTTCATTCATATATTCTGATGCTTCAGTGATGATGAAGGGTGATAAACCTTGATCCACTTGAGGCTGCTGACCAGATTGTTGTGGACTTACTCTGTGTAGTTTTACTTTATTGCCAAGAACTAGTATTTTACTCCTGCTTTTGTGCCTTGTAGCCAATACCCAACTTGTCATGAATTAATGTGCCCCTTGTATAATAACCATCATGAATTGGCAGGAACCATTTTGTTATTACAGAAACATGATGTAAGAATAGCTCAGAGGAAGGTGATTTAGGGGAAACATTATCTACTGGATTTATTGAGTTACTTGTTGTTGCTTAAGATATAGAATCAATATCTTGGCTCTGTGGTATTATGTAGCTTATGTTGTCTTGTCTATTTTTTCATTTATTTACTCTACACTTAATAAAAATACAAAAATGGATCGTGTTATGACTTTTTCCACACTCTTGTATACGAGGTGTTCGGTGATTCTTTTTTTTTTTTTTATATAATCAGGTCTTGTGAAATGAAATAGCCATGCAGAGGTTTGTACAAAAATATTTATTAAACCTTATACCATCAGACATTTTTTAAACATGCTTGTATGTAATATGATCCCTGCAGTACATAAAATTAATAACCAGGAGTCCTATCAACTGTACAGACAATAGATGTTGGTAATTATTTATTTATTTCTACAATCACATGGCAACATGACCATCGTCACCTTCTTATGCCCATATTCCACACTTACTTGAGTTAGCCTTGATTCTCTCTAATGCAAATTCTTTGAGTTACTTGTTTTTATAACTGGATCCTTTAACTACTGTATATAATTGAGCCTCCCAATGATAGGTTGTGTGTTACTGTTGCCTACTTGTATTATTTCACTGTATGTGTGTGTGTGTGTCGTGTAAACAAAACGTTCTTTGCGAGATTATAGCATTAGGTGAAGACGGGAGGGAAGAGTGGAACTGTACATAAAGAGTAAGTGGGACGGGATAAGAAGTGATTGGATGGCTTGGAGTCTCTTCTGTTTAATGTCTCTTACAAAGGGGAGTTGCTTGGTAGAGTGAAACATTGCAGGTTAGTGAATTTTTACTAACTTTTGTATCCCTTGTACTACCTCGTTACCTCAACCCTCACCTCGTCAGCTTCTTGCAGTGTTACATTTATTACTGTATTATTTACATTATTGTTACTTTATTATTTACTTTATTATTACTGTATTATTTACTTTATTATCACTGTATGTACATTTAGAAAATATTTGTTTGCACAGTAATTATAAATAGATTATTTTATGTGGCAGCCAAGGCAAGATGCAAAAACTGAACAGAAAACCAAAAAAATTTCAGAAATCGAATAATGTCAAAATATTCTGAATTCAATTAATTCCGATTTTTCGGTAATTCGAATGACCCAGAGCCCCTCGTCTTTTAATTAATGAGGATATAGTGTACATTAATTTCCTCATCATGTTAGGGATGTTTGCTGTAGGGTAGACAAGTATGGTTAGTTTATGAAATGGATTACACAGATTGAATATAGTTATCATCTTGGAACACCCAGAGTTTTCTTATATATACAGTGTTTTGTCTTCTCTATTTGTGTACGTGTTTGTCCAATAAGAAGCCTTTCATGGTCTCCTCCCTCCCCTTGTGTCCTTATACTGTAAATCCTTCTTATACAAAGTTGTCGGGTTGATAGTTAAAATTGGCCCTATATTTTTCATACTATCACAATATTACAGAAACTGGAAAATGACTACAAGGTTTGAGGTCATCTTCTGTACATTTAATAGACTTCATCACATACATTGTTATAAAACTTGAAAAGCTTTAAGTGTATCATGAATGATGGTGTGAAGGAAGTGAAAATATTTGCTTGAGGATATCCAAATGTGCAGAGTGTACACGTGTTGGTGATTAGTGAGCCAGTGTGTATACTGTACAGTCATGGACGAAATTCCTGTTATATGCCTGAGACTGAACTCCTGCAGTGAGTCAGAACTGTTTGTCTATCATCAGGAGATGCTGTAGTATCATTTGGTTTCAGTACAGTTTCGAGAAGGAATGTAAAGGAAATTTCATTCATAACTGTACTTATACAGTAATAGTTTGCATTCTTTACATCTATTCTACAATCATACAGTCATATTTACATTTATATAACATTGGTAACATTAAATTTTCAATATAATTTTAACTCATAATTTGGCTTATATGTGCACAAAATTCATCCCAAAGTGATCCAGAGTTGCTTGTGAACCTTGCTGTTTATAGATATCACTACCGTATGTACAAAACAAAACAGTTTTAAATAACTCACAAAGGTTACTGATTATGTATGAGCCGAGACATTTGTCTCGTGCACAAATAACAATGTCAAAAACAATTCAGTTGCAATGTTAAAGGAAAAGTTTGTTTTATTTATTTTTTTAGATAATAGTAAACAGGTGAGTGAGAACATTTCAGGTTACTGTGTAGTAATTGACAAAATTTATGAATCTGAAAAACTGTGTGTGTGACACCAGACCTGTACCATATGGCACACCTCACTTGTACAAATACTGTACTGTAGTAATAACTTGGTGTCACACCTCACAATTATGTTTACAGGGCACAAAACAGTTTAAGGAAGCTAAAAGTATTTTTGTAGCAGATGCTGAAAAAAATTAGTTAGAAAAATAAGCTTCACACTTTAAGTTGAATACAATTAGAGGATGTGTGTGGGTCACAAAACGGTGACTATATTTTAAGTGTTATGACTTGTTTTTCTGTTGTCATTTATTTTGATTACAACTTGGCATTAGTGTGTCGCCCTCAAGTAAGATTACCAGAAATGGACTCTCAAAGGTCACTGAGACTTTTTCATGGCAACAGTTTTTAGGGTACTGTACAGGTGCTTACAAAAGTAGTAATACTGTACAGCATTGACTGGTGGAATGTTAACATTTCTTTAATATCAAACAGAGGTGACCATAACAAATCTTCAGGTGTGGCTGAAGATGTATTGTCATGGTGGTGTGTGCCAGCTTCACTCTCATCTTTAATATTACATGTTATCTCATACCTGGCTGGAGTCATTAGATCTGGTCTTCAACTGTAACTTTAGTAATTATATCTGATAAAACCAATAAACTAAACTCATTTTCATTTTTTGAAGTCTGAAGCTTGGTGCTCAGCAATCTTACCTTGGTGCTCAGTTTTGAAATAAACGAAATGAAAAATAAAATATGGCAACCTATGAGCTTGAACTTCTTTTGGTGACTTGTGAAGTTTTACAAAATTATATAACTTAATGCTGAACAGAAAGAAGGGATGTTAGATGACAGGAAATCAAGTGATGCTGACTAAGTTCTCAACAGAGAACAAGTAACACTCTTGTGTGTTCTTTAGTGATGAAGTTCTTGTAATGTTATACTGAACAGTATAACATCACAAGAACTGTACAGTAGGTGCACGACAAGTGATCAAAATGACGGACCAAGATGTATGTAAAAATCTGTTGAGAAAACAATTATTTTGTTTATTTATTTTTTAGTCAAGTTTATGAGAATTTTTCACTTTAAATTCTTAGATGTAGAAGGATACCTTGAAGGAAAAAATTATATACATAACTTTAGGTTGTGTTTAACAATATTTCAGAGTAATCCTGCCATATTTCTCAAAGTTGATATATAAACAGTACTATTTTTCAGACTTTGTTGCAAATTATACAGTACATTGAATATACTGTAGTTCATATTCTCAGGTGACAATTGATACGGTTGATGGAGAAAGAATTTGTTTTGTGTGTAAATTTGGAAAATTTCTTTAATAATATGAAACAGTAAAAGAGAATATCCAACTTGGAAGACACAAAAGGATAACAGATACTGTAGTGTTAAACACAATAGGTTAATAGAAATAGTTAATGTTATGTTGGGCTCCTCCAGAGAGCCAGCTATCTCCTCAAGCTAGTGTAGTGATAAAGGGTACTAGCATATTGTAGCATTAGAAGTAAATGAAATCAAAAGATATTAACATGGGCTCGCAAAAAGAGCAAGTTATCTCTTCAAGCTTGTGCAAAAGACACTAGCTTGCCGTTGCAGTAGAGTTGCGGACAGCAGTCTGGGTAGGGTCGGCCTTCAACCCTCACTATGTAGCAGGTCTCAGAGTAGAGTGGCGGTGGTTCAGAGCATCTGATCAATGAAGGTTACAGTTAGACAGTTGGAAAAATAGGTATTTTACTCTTATAAAATATAAACAAGTTTAAACGATGTAGATTAATGAAATGTGTACTGTACATTGTCATTAAGGAACTTTGGAATTATATGAAAAACACAAAAAAGTTGTTGAATTTTAAAAAATTTTCAAACCATGGATGCTTACAATAGACTTAGGAAACATGAAATACAGTACAATTAACTGCAGTGTAATTCTGATAAAACGTTATGCTATAAAGATAAATATAGGTACTTTTTTTTCTCTGCTTCTCATTGTTTCCTGATGATGTGTCTACTTGTCTACCACATGTCTACTCGTTTACTCACACCATGAAACACTTAGTCATTTTCACCAATACACCCGACCTTCCTGGTGAATGTCCCCTGTGGCTCTAACCCTAAGTTAACCGAACCTGATCTATTTTAACCTTTTATAGTATTTTATTCATGTGTGTCGCATCTTACAGCTGTGGTCACCTACACTCACCCATGTCTTCTACACCCTACCCTCTACACCTTATCCTGCATACATCCCTTCTATTAATCATGTTACACCACTTAACTACACCTACCTGGTACAGTAGCCCTGTCTCACCTGTGTAGACTTGCCTCACTTGTATAGACCTGCCTTACCTGTGTACACCTGTTTCACCTGTGTACACGTGCCTCACCTGGTGCGCTTCTCCAGTAGTGTGCCATTGGAAGCAATAATACAGGTGGCCCTCTCGCAGGTGTGATCCACGGTCCAACTCTCCCCTGTTGTCCGCAGTGAGCAGCGGTCCGCATCATAGCACTTGCCGCTGTGGTCTGAGGGCAGGAGGGAACACACAGTGAGTGTATAGAACACATGGGTCTAAGTGTAATGTTAAAAATGGTCAAGTTACACGTAGTTAAGAAACGTTATAATACTAGAGGCTGAGGAAAGGCTCATGTTTCATAATACTTAAAGTTAATATATTACAGTTAAAGGGTGTTGGTTGTAATATGTGTATTTCTCAGGTTGTGTCCTGGGTTTGAGTCCTGGCCTGGGACACGTGAGAAGAGTATTATCCAGTGTGATACTATAACAATCATCACAGGTCTCATGTATTTAAGCTGGTCAGTAATATCATAACAAAGGTGTAATAGTGTGTTATTACTGTAATTAAAGAAAGAAATAGTTATTTAGCCATTAAGTAGCTTATTGTCTTAACTACCATCAAACCCAATTAGACCAAAGACTGTAATTGTAAGCCATGAAGCCAACTAGCCCATAATATTGCCCATGTATATGTGTCTGTCCAGGTAATATTGGTACATATATTACTCGCGGGTGTCAAGTTATCGTTTGTTCAGTATCTGTCATTAAACTTCGAGAATCATTGTGTGGTTAAGTTAGGTGTGACAGGTGGATACTTACTTCCTCATATCTCTAGTTGAGGGAGAGAGAGCGTTAATCTGTGAACCTTTTGAGAAATACAGAAATCACACTGTTGAGAAAAGAAAGTGTGTGTGTGTGTGTGTGTGTGATCACTATCTGAGACGCTTCGTGTTTCTCGCGTTATATCGGAGGGGGGTGAGTGGATGGATTTGAGGAAATGGGAAAACTTCATTTCTCAATCCACTCTCTCTCTCTCTCTCTCTCTCTCACACACATACATACACACTGATGTGTATAAAATATGATTAACAACAACACCATCTTTTGAGTAGAGTTTGTACCATGCCTTATGCTTGAAGACATCACCTGTTTATAACGAGTGTCAGTACTTAGTAACAATATCGTTGATAGGGTCATCAGTTGACGATGACCAGTGATAGAGACAGTGTTGGTGCCAGTGTTCCCAGCTCCTGCACAATCAACTCTCATAGACTGATTCTTCTGGTAGACGTCACCGACTGAAAGGTATATGGTAGTTGTTACGAGGAATAACCTAACCCCCTCCCAGGTAGCTTTAGTGTGTTTAATTAGCCAGTGATATAAGGTGGAGGTTTATGTGGGTTATTATATCATTGTCTTATGGGTAACCTTGACCCCCCCCCCCCTCACTAACAACACGCCTCACCATCACTTGTTCGCTTGGCTGTTTCCTATGGGATCAAATATGTCACTTTCAGATGTCAAGACAAATTTAATGGTGTTTTTTGTCTCAGTACTCTGTTGTTGTCGACCCTTGTGTTTTTTACAGCAATTGTGTCGAGTAACTGAGCATGGAGAATCTGTTGTGGATATAACTAAACATTGATCTGTCTTGGAAGTACAGGAACATTAAGGGTTAATTTAACTTAACATTATGAAGTCTTTATCTTCCGTAACTCACAAGCTAAGGTGTTTGGAAGAACCATAGCTTGACGCTGTAGCTGTGTATGGTATTAGAACGACCATGAATAACATCTGAGCTTCCATTACTTCGTGTCAAGGAAGGATGAAATACTGAGAAACACTTTAACCTAACCTCCCGTGTTGAGGCTCACTGTATGAAATAGGATTATAAGTCTCGGGTTAAGTCTCTCTCTCTCTCTCTTTCTCTGCCTTATAGGTGATAAGTCCAGGCCGGATGGTGACTGGCTCAATTAGGCCTTAATCCTATTAGGCTCCAGTCTTAATAGACCCCAGTTCTAATAGATCATGTTGGTAATAGAGGGGGAAGGGTGGGAGGGAGAGAAGGGAAGGAGGCAGGAAGGGTGATCGAGGTTACATAGAGGTATTGTTAATGTTAAAATCTTATGGTTAAAAAGAGTTATTGTCCCAGATCTATGAAAAAGGTTTTATTTATGTCTTGGCAACTCAACGTAAATGTTAATGGGAATTTTTATTTTGTATTTTTTCTCATTTTTTTATTAATTTATACGTTTTTCCATTTCTTCCTTTCATTCTCTCTGTTTTATGTTCTGTTATTAGAGGTGTTCACTGCAGTAGGTGGAGGTGTTCACTGCAGCAGGTGGAGGTGTTCACTGCAGCAGGTGGAGGTGTTCACTGCAGCAGGTGGAGGTGTTCAGGTGGAGGTGTGAGCCCCTCAAGGTAGTCATGTTTTTACCTGTGTTTTACCACTTAAGGCTTCAGGTGTTTCAAGGGCGAGGTCCCGTAGTCTCTAAGGTCCGTGTGTGTGCGTGCGTGTGTGTGCGTGCGTGCGTGTGTGTGTGTGTTTGTTTGTACGTCATGTGTACGGTGTATGTTTGTTTGTGTGTATACATGTGAGTTTGTTACATTACAACACTAAGGTATTTGAGGCTTAATATGAACTATTTCACCAAGTTATTACCAGTGAAATAAGTTAGAATAGTCATGTGTTACGCAGTTCCTTCGGGTTATGTAACAAAGTTTAATAGTATAAGTACAGGTTATGTTACCAGGTGTGTGGGGCAGGTGGATGGTGAAAGCCAGTGTGGTGATGCTAGTAGTGGTGATGCAGGTAGTAGTGATGGTGGTGGTGTTGATGGTGATGTGAATAATGTCGGTGTGGGTGATGGCTCTCTCTCTCTCTCTCTCTCTCCCCTAGAAGGAGTTGTGGTGTTACGGTTCAAGAGTCACCCTAATGGTGATTTAAGCTCACGAGGAAATAATGTTCTGGGACTTGATATATAAAAGTGGGACCAACACAATAATGGCACGAGACTGGTGGTGGTGCTGAGCCGTGTTAGCTGACCTTCCCTTCCCCCTTCCCTTCCCCACTCCACCCTTTTAGTCCTTGCTTTATCTTACTCTACTCCCCCACCACATCCATCCGTCTTCTCAACCTACTCCTCCTCCACCTACTTTTCCCCTTCATTCTTCTACCACCTTTTCCACCTCCGCCTCACTTCACCCCCTCTCCACCTCCCTATCCCTCTCATTACATCTCTTCCCTCTCATTACTTCTCTTCCCTCCCTCTCCTCCTAACCTGTGTTTACATCGCGACCTTCACTTGTTTTTTTTGTCTTAACTCTTGTCATCTGATCCTATTATGTTTTTTATACTCGCGTCAGTCAGTTGTATCTTATGAAACGGTTGATTTATAGCGTATCAGATCCTTTGTTCGTCTTGTTTATATTTTTTTTTGTTAAACTGTTCTTATAAATGATTGATCTATTGTATCTGATTCCTTATTCGGGGATTTTCTTTTGTTTTCAAGTTTATAGATAAGATGAAGCTATAAACGCCAGACTCTTAAGTTCTTGATTTGTGGGGTATTTAATTCCTCTTTTTGGTGATTTTGTTTTTGTTTTGTTAATTAGATGGAGTGTAGGATCCCTTGATGAACTGTTGTCAGGAATTTATTACATTTGTACATATTATAAACAAGAAACTCCTTTATGTTGATGACTATAAGTAAAGTCAAGCCTACCTTACCCTACCCCCTGCTGACAGAGGTGTGTGGCTCAGTGTATGGCGTCGTGCGTATCGAAGGCATTAGAGACACAACATTAATACACATCTCACGCCCCACTAGCCCTGGACATGGTGGTGGGGGTGGCAGGGAAAGTAACCGGGAGAAAATGGGTTGTTGTGGGGAGAAAATGGGTTGTGGGGAGAAAATGGGTTGTTGTGGGGAGAATGTTTACTGTGTGTTTGTTATATTCTTTGTGTTTCTTTATCCTTTGTGTCTCTCCCCTTTTTTCTTCCTCCTCCCTTCCTTCCTTCCTTCCTTCCTCACCTTTACCTATCCTCCCTCACACCCCCTTCCTCCCACTCTATACCTCCTTCACCCTCTCCCTCCCTCTCTCTCTCTCCATCCCTCCCTCACCAACCCACCTCTCCCTCACTCCACAAACACCCATGCCCCAGAATGTTGATCAGGTGTCATAAACTTGGAGAAACAGGTGTTAATTGAGGTAAGACAGGTAGAGTGACCGACACACACACACACACACACACCATCACGCGTGGTATAAGACAAACGACCATAAGACAAACATTACAATTTTCATCTCACAAATTTCCTCTGTTTATCAAGTTTTTTCCCTTCTGTTTCCCAACATTTCTATCAGACAAGAAAATGACCAGAATTACTGAAGGTTGAGATTAAGTGGTGTGGGTTAGTCAGGTTTTCCCTCAGGCTGCCATGGTGAAGTGTGTGTGTACCATGGTAGAGTGTGTGAACCATGGTAGAGTGTGTGTGAACCATGGTAGGTGTGTGTGAATCATAGTAGAGTGTGTGAATCGTGGTAGAGTGTGTGAATCATAGTAGAGTGTGTGAATCATGGTGGAGTGTGTGTGAACCATGGTGGAGTGTGTGTGAACCATGGTGGAGTGTGTGAACCATGGTAGAGTGTGTGAACCATGGTAGAGTGTGTGAACCATGGTGGAGTGTGTGAACCATGGTGGAGTGTGTGAACCATGGTGGAGTGTGTGAACCATGGTAGAGTGTGTGAACCATGGTAGAGTGTGTGAACCATGGTAGAGTGTGTGAACCATGGTAGAGTGTGTGAACCATGGTAGAGTGTGTGAACCATGGTAGAGTGTGTGAACCATGGTAGAGTGAACCATGTGTGAACCATGGTAGAGTGTGTGAACCAGTGTGTAGAGTGTGTGAACCATGGTAGAGTGTGTGTGGTAGAGTGTGAACCAGTGTGTGAACCAGTGTGTGGTAGAGTGTGTGTGAATCATGGTAGTGTGTGTGAATCATAGTGTGAATCGTGGTAGAGTGTGTGAATCATAGTAGAGTGTGTGAATCATGGTGGAGTGTGTGAACCATGGTAGTGTGAATCAGTGTGTGGTAGAGTGTGTGAATCATAGTAGAGTGTGTGAAGTGTGTCATGGTGTGTGAACCATAGACCATGGTGTGTGAACCATGGTGTGTGAACCATGGTAGAGTGTGTGTGAACATGGTAGAGTGTGTGAACCATG